GTTCTGGGTTAGTGACCAATCCACAGTGCTTCCTTTTCACCCCACTTTATTCTCTATTTCTTCTATCTCTACATATCAAGACTTTTTCTTAGGGGGAGTAGTTTAAAGATAGTTCAAAGGCAGTTAAAGGTACTGGGATTATTAGAAGCCAACTTCATACCTCATGGAGACTTCACTAGAGCATGAAGGGACATTATCCAGAGAACCTATATCTGAAGAATGGTGGTCCTATGCTATGATCTCCAGAAGCAGCAGCTGGATGTGTCACTGAGGTGTTCTCCATTGGAAAGAAGGCGAGTTTATTGGCATTTGTATCGTGGGATGGATTATGTAGGTGAGGGCCTTTTTGGAATTATGTAATAGGAAATGATATGTATGTGTTGGGCAAACAAAGGGTGGACTGTATAGACAGCTGCCATTTTGCTTCTTTATGGTGCTCCTTCCCCTGGAAATCACCACCTCCACCTCCCCACTGCCCATACGGTTATCATGTTAATCAATTTGCTCTTCATCCCTTGACCACGATTGATTAGTCCAAAGATAAGCATCTAAGCTGAATCAAAATATTTCCTGAAAATTTTGCAAACCAAAAGAAAAGGAGGAGGAGGAGCTGGCAGCAGCAGTCTCTTTGGTTGCCTACACAGTAAACTTTAAAACTTCAGAATTGTCTGAAGTCCCGCTTTTTACCATGTAAACTAGGAGAATATTGTAAGTCAGTCTGGGATGGGGAGGACAGGGGAAAGGGCCAGGGAAGGAAATGGAGACAGGTAGAAATTAACAGAGATGAGAGGTAGAGAGAGAACTCTTCTGGGTGGCTTTTGATCTCTCAGTTTCAATTGTTCCTGAGTCATCCTTGCCTTTAGGTTCCAGTATCTGATTATACATTTATCTTTTTGCTTAAACTAGTTCTCACTTTCCCTGGGTGAGCTCATCTATTTTTCTCATTTAACTATCACTCTTTTGCTGATAACTCACAAAATACTATCTTTAGCCTGGACCTCTCTCCTAAACCTGAGGCCTGTTCAGTAAATGGCATCACAGTATCCTTAGCCACTAACCTGGGAGTTACCCCAGACTTTTCCTTCCTTCTTACCTCCTCTATCCTCTAGACCTCTAAGTCCCACCAACAGTAGCTCCCAAATATCCTCAATGCTCTCCTTTTCTCTCCACTCCTTTTCCACTCCATCAGTTCAGTCCCTCATCATTAATCCTTGCCTTCACTCTCAAATGCCTTCAAGCCCCCATCCCACACCATAGCCCAAATCATCCTACTAATTTCTGGATATGATCACATTACTCTTCTGCTCAAAATTCTTCAGTGGCTCCCCACTGTTTTCAGGATAAAATCTGAACTCCTGCAGCTGGGTCACAAAATTCACTCACATTACACTCAGATGTGCAATGATTTAAGTCTCCTCCATTTCCTATAACTAGTCTGATGTTTCTCACAATGCCCTCACCCTGCTGGGCAGTGGGCAGTGGCTAGGGGGAGCTAAAAGTAATCCACGCTGGTAAACTCTACAGGATCCAATAATTTATTTTAGACAGTCTCTAAGTACTTTGGTAGCTTTGGATGACTCAGTCTTCTCTTTCTTCTTTTCAAGATAGCATCTGGATTTTTAGGGGTCTTATGTGAATTTCATGGCCTTGGGGGAATGGGGCTTCTTAGTCACATGGTCCTTGGGGCTGTGTCGGCTGGCATTTGCTGAGATGTGGTCGATTTGGTATAAATTAGTGAATAACAACCCTGAGAGGTAGCTATTATTACCACCATTTTACAGATGAGGAAGCTGAGGCTAAGAGATTAAATAACTTGCTCAAGATCACAAAGTTAGTAAGTGAACCAGGAATCAATACCGCCCCAATTCCAGTAGGCACTTAGTTATATGAGTCTAGGATTCCAGAGAGAAGTTAAGGCTAGACTTGGGAGCACTGGGAGTCTTCATGATAACTTCAAGGATGTGCTCTTCCAAGGAGAGCATGTAGAGCGGGATGAGAAGAGGGCCGGGATCAGAATAGGTGACAATCACTGGCCTGTAAGCGTCGGGGAGGAAGAGGTCTACCTCACTGCTCCTCTCCAAGCTATATTCTTCTTAGGGGAGCTTTTAGGATAGCAAAGTAGGACTTTCACCATGCCTGCACCTATTCCGGCCAGGGAGGAACCATTGCTCAGGACACTCCATTTCTGTCCCAGGCTCCCCAACAGCCTGGCAGCAAGCCTGAGACCAACACTGGGTGGGAACTCAGTAAATGTGTCCAAAGAGCCTGCGTTGCCAGAGACTTTCACACCTCGTAGGGCCAGGGAACATGCAGCCCTCTAAAGTGGGAATGCAGAGTCCACACCCAGATGGCAGAGGCAAGTGCGGGACTGCACCATAGGCGGTTCCCCAACTGAGGAGGTTCAGTCTCCTGCCAGGTGTGGGGACGCGGGGCCTTCTTCCGGAAGACAGGCTTAGAGACCTCTTCCAGATACAGAGGGGTGGTTTCCTCAGATGTGGAAATGCAGCGGCCTTGGCCTTTCTTGGATGCAGGGTGTAAAACCCTTCCAGGTGCAGAGGGTGCAAGAAATCCCTACGTAAGGGTAGGCCTCGCCCCCTCCCCACCCCATCCCATCCCCTCTCCCAGGAAAGACCCTGCGCCAGCTACTCCTTCAGCCCCACTCCCGCCCCGCGCGGGCACCAGAGGCGGGCCGGTCGCCACCTCAGCACACCACCAATGGTGCGGGAACCGGGGATCGGCCCGCCAATTGAGTGGCGGCAGCCGCGCGAGGATGGCTCCGCCCCCGGGCCGCAGGCTGCCGGCCTCCCAGGAGGCGGGGCTCTTCGCTGTTTTTGCTGGCGACCGAGCCCGGCCGAGCCCAGCCGAACGCAGCCGAGCCCAGCCGAACGCAGCCGAACCCAGCCTAACCCCGCGCAGCTCCCGCCGCCGCCGCCCGAGCGCTGCCGAGCGAGCGAACGAGCAGCCGCGGCCGCGGAGGAGGTGCGGCCCCAGGGGGAGGAGGTGCCAGCTCGCCGCAGACCGCTAGCGGCAGAGGCCGCCCCGGTCGCGCCGCGGCGGGAGCGGCCGGCGGAGGCTGCGCGGCAGAGGGGGAGGGCCAGGGGAGCGGACGTCGCCTCTGCTGGCCTCCCGCCTCCCGCCGCCCCCCGCCCGCAGGCTCCCGAGCCTTAGTCGGCGCCGAGCATCCCGCTGCCCCGGACCCTCCTGCGGGCGCGCACCAGGCTCAACTCAGGTAAGGAGGGCCTCCCGCCACGGGCACGGGGGCCAAGAACCTGCGACGCGAAGATGGAGATAGAGACAGAGACACACAGCTGCGGAGAGAGACGGACACAGAGACACAGGAACCCCTGAAAAGACCCCACGGAGAAGGGGAGAGGGACACGTCCATGAGAACACAGAGGGACATAGCCTGGAAGAGAGAGACAGAGAGACACAGAGACTGATGCAGAGATACACAGAGACACACTGGGAGAGAAACGAGACATACAGGAGACACAGTCAGAGATGGGGACACACGGAGAGACAGCCACACATACACAGAGGTAGGTGTGCAGAGGCACAGGCACACATCCAACGGAGGGACAGGGAGACGCCAGACACACACACCTGACTCAGAGAGGCAGCCCCTCATGGAGACATACAGCCCTGGATGCACAGAGCCTGCACATGCCTGCCAGGGCCTCACAAAGTTCCCTCTGTGCAAGCTGGCACCTCTGGAGGTCTCCTGGTCAGGCTGGCTGGAGTCCTGGGGAGAGGAGGTGCCCAGGCTACACCGGAGCGACTCACAGCCCCCATCCTCTTGTGCCAGGGGCTGCCTGGGTCCCACCTACCAACAGAGGGCTTTTGAGGGCGGCAAGCTTGGTGGGCAGGGCCAGGGCATGCCCACCAGGTCTAAGGAGAATGAGATGACGGCTGCCTACTCCGGCTTCCCCACGCTGGCTACACACTCATTCAGGTGCCCAGAACCAGGCCTTTGGGTGGGGGTGCTGGCTCTGTGGGGTATTTGAGCCTGTTGGGACCCAATGTCTTTACCAGTGAGGCCAGAAATGCGGGAGGAAGGCTCTCTTCCCTACTCCTCTCCTCCTAGGCCTCACCCCACCCTTCCTCCTCATCACACTCTCCTTTTCTCTGTACCCCCAACAGGCTCAGGACTGCAGGTAGACATCTCCACTGCCCAGGAATCACGCAGACAGCACAGCCTCCTCGGAAGGCCAGCCATACCAGAGTCCTGCCTCGGCATGGGCATCGCCATCCAGGCAGCTCCACTGTCTGTGCTTGTCTGAGGGTGCCCGTCATGGGGGCAGCCATCTCCCAGGGGGCCCTCATCGCCATTGTCTGCAACGGGCTTGTAGGCCTCTTGCTGCTGCTGCTCTGGGTCATCCTCTGCTGGGCCTGCCATTCTCGCGCTGCCGACGTTGACTCTCTCTCTGAATCCAGTCCCAACTCCAGCCCTGGCCCCTGTCCTGAGAAGGCACCACCACCCCAGAAGCCCAGCCATGAAGGCAGCTACCTGCTGCAGCCCTGAAGGCCCCTGGCCTAATCTGGAGCCCCGGACCTAAGTCCACCTCACCCAGAGCCTGGAATTAGGATCCCAGAGTTCAGCCGGCTGGGGGTCCAGAACTCAGAGTCTGCCTGCTTGGAGCTGGACCCAGCAGTCTAGAGTCTAGCCAGCCTGGCCCCAAGAGGAGCTCAGTGGACCTAAGGAGATGGACCTGGGGTGGGAGCTTATGAGTTGGTGCTAGGACCAGGGCCATCTGGACTATGCTCCATCCCAAGGGCCAAGGGCCAGAAGCCGGGTTCACTCTTTCCCTAGGCTAAGCACCTCTAGGCCCTCTAGGGTGGGGAAGCAAACTGGAACCCATGGCAATAATAGGAGGGTGTCCAGGCAGGGCCCCTCCCCTGGTCCTCCCACTGTTTGCTGGATAATAAATGGAACTATGGCTCTACCCTGAGATTTTCTTCTGTTCCCAAGGGCCCTGTGGTAGCAAAATTAAAGGTGTGGGGTGGGTTTCCAGACAGGTTTATTTGTGCAAAGTTAGAGGGGTAATGGTTGAAGGCCAAGTCCTGGGGTGAGGTGCTAGGACCTTAAGGAGCAGAATAAGAAGGGCAGATGCTGGGACCTGATCAGGGGTGGGGTCACATGCTGGGTGCTAAGGCTGGGCTGGGTACCAGGGTCAAGCACTATGAGTACTGGATTCAAGCAATGAGACTGAGGCTGGGCCCTCAGGTCTTGGTTTTCACTTCCCTCACCAGGTTCAGCAGTTTGTCCAGTTTCGCAATCTCCACAGCTGGACCCTTCTGCACCTCCTGCCCCTTCTTTTCCTGGGGAGAGGGAAAGCGTACATGGGGGAGGAATGGTGACAGGTGGGCTACCTCTCTCTGGGTCCCTGTACTACCTCCTCTGCCCAGCCTGTCCAGCTGTGCCCTACCCCTCCCCTGCCCAGTAAATTCTGGATCCCTGCCTACCCTCTCCCCAACTGGAGTTAGGTGGCAAAGGGGCTCAGCTGACAGCTTGCAAAAAGAGTCCAGCTCTGGCTTGAACCTCAGATGGACATGGGGTCTTGACACTGGCAGGAGCAGGAGAAGGCATCCTTCCCCTGACCCTCAGAGCAACAGGCCAGGGAGATCCAGCTCTTTGAAGGTAAGGGGCTGACTGCTGGCACCATCCTTACCATGGCAAGGTCCCTGGCTGAGTCCTATCCAGGAGCTAATGGGTATGTGTTTGGGAAGGGAAGGGCGGTGGGCAGAGCCTCAGGGGCCCCCACCTAGTCCTCTCACATGATGCCTTCAGGTCAGGTTGGCAGTGGGTGCCATTTGGGGCCAGGCCTGCTGTGTCAGACATACCCAGGGTTGGGGAGGGTGTCAAGAGACTCATAAGGGCAGAGGGAGTAGTCAATATGACTCCAGGTGTCCTTGGCTGAGGTTGTCCCTCAGAAGACCAGATCCTGAGTTTATGACCCCTCACTCCACCTGCAAAGCATTCTAATCCTTCCATTTTAAGCTGGACATGAGTGTGTGTCACCCACAGGTCTAGTGAACTCTTTGGCAAACCAGCACCAGTTCCACCCTCCCTACTGTCCAGGCAGTGGGCTGAGGGCTATGCTGCAGCAGGCTGGGCAGCTGTCATTTCCCCATTTCCTGCCTTCTCTCTGCTCCTTGGCCCCCATCCTCATAGCCACCTGTGCCCACTGCTCACTGACACCTACTCCAGCCTTGCCTTGGTCTGGCCAGGGTTGTAAAGGGGATGTGGGGGTGAGTGCAGGGCCAGTAGGCCCCTCCCTAGCTCCTTTCTGGCTGCTGACACCATGTGGAGCTCAGATTTCCCCCTGGTGTGACTCCGTACCTGCTCCCAAATCTCCCCATCCCCTTGCAGCCCAGTGCCTTTTTGCCACTACCCAGCTCACCTCTACACTCTCCAGGCAGAGGACAAAAAGCTCTTTTTCTCTCTCTCCCCACTCTCCTTCCTGAATTAAGCTTGGGTTCTCTTCTTGGCTTCACCCCATCCCCTGGGAGTTAGGGGACCTGGTTTTAGTTCCAGCTTTGTCATTAACTCTCTATATGACTTTGAGCAAGTTCTTTGCCTTTCCGAGCTTCCATTTCCCATCTATCCTATAGTTAGGGAAAGACAGTCTTTGGCCTTTGACACGTTGGGCTGACACCCATCATGGGAGCTCCCTGGGCAGGGTAGTCCAGGCCTCAGTGGGGAAGCCCTTTGGAAACGGCAGGGAGCTTGCAGCTCACACAGGAAGGGCAGTAGGGATGCCCAGAGGATTGCATTTTGCATGAATCACTTGGCTGATTGGGTCAGATAGAAATTTCACAGGAACCTTTAATCCATTCAAGCACCCAACAGCCCCCAGCTGTCCCTGCTCAGGTCCTCAGAGATGTAGGTCCCCAAAGATGCAGAGCTTGGGTCTCCCAGCCATGACTGACCCTTCTCTGAGGGGAACTGAAACTGTGGGAGATCCTTACCTCCCTGGATCAGAGTGGGCAGGGCAGGCTCTCACCCATGTCTACCACCCTCATGGTGTCATGGCCATAACCCTCCCCCAAAGAATGACCACCATCCCTCCTAGAGGGTTGTCCAACTCTGCCAACTTCAACCTGGGTCTCTCTCCTCAGAAAATTAGGAACAGATTTTATCTGTTCCACAAATTGTGCTGCCTCCTTCCTGCTCCTTGAGGCCAACTAGCTGGGCTCAGCAAAGAGATTCAGACCATGCCAGACTCCCTCCTCCCTTCAAGCCCACCGCAGCCTCTGGGCCACAGCTGCAGGCGCTTAGCAGCCTTTTGAGTATTTATAGCCAAGTCCACCCCCTCCCCCAGCTGGCTACAATTACAGGCCCGGCCACACTCCCAGGCCTTGCCTCGCTGGCCTTGGTGGGGAATAGACCAAGCCAGCACCAGAGGGATGGTGCAGCAGTCCCTTCCTTGGTAGGAGCACAGTTCTGGGAAGTCAGTAGTTGAAAGACACAGGCCCCTGCCACTGCCTCAAACTGCAGTAAATGCCTCAAATTGTCAGGAGGGACGGTCATCAGGGCAAGCTGGCCCAGTCCTGATCCTGGCCCAGAACCTGGCAGAAAGCAAAGAGCCATCTCTACTCTTAGCACACAAATGGGCAGGACTGGGCTCTGGGTTGTTGGGCTCAGGATTCTAAGGCCTGGGCTGCAAAGCCTGGGTTTATAAGTCTGAATGTGGACTCAGGTCTAGACTTTAAGATCATTGTTCTGGGCTCCAGACCTGTATTTGGGGGCCCTGGGCTCTGGGCAGGATCTCTCCTGATCATTGGAGATCCTAGAAACAGGAACCAGAGCTGAGAAGGAGGACTGCATAGCTGCTGCCCTAGTTACCCTCCTCATGGCTCATTTCCTTCCTCTCTATGTAGACCCACAGCTCCCAGCTCAGGGACCATTGGAGCTGAAGCCCTCTGAAAGCCCAGCCAATGAGGCAGTGGCTCAGCCCCAAGCCCCCTGCCTGGGTGACCCACAGCATTTCTACTGGGAAGAAATCAATGATAGCCCCACATTTGCCTCCGCAGGCTTCATCCTGCTCACTGGATGTCTCCACCTGGGAGAGTCCCCTGGGGCCCCACAGGTAACTCAAATGCAGCATGTCAAACTGCTATTTTCTCACAAACCTGCTTCTTCTCCCGTGAGCCTCATTCAGGCAATGACACCATCCTTACCCTGGCTCTCCCAAGCCAGAAACTGGGGGGTCACCCTGGCTCCTCCCTTCTGTCATCCCCACCCTCCTGGAGACTTTAGCTCTTGCAGCAGCCCAAAGTCCTGGAGCCTGTACCTTTGGCATCTTGCGCAAATTGGGCGAGAGCTTGAGGCAGATGATGTGCCCACGGTCATCGCCCACAATGATGATGGGGTGGATGGGATTGAAGTGCACGTGAGTGATCTTGTTCTTCTTTTTGGCCGCCACAGGCTGGTTGCAGATGGCCTCGTACTTGTTGATGGCCAAGTCAAACACGTGGGCCTGTGGAGAGGTTGGTGTCGGCACACTCAGGAGTAATGGGGCCTGTCTTCCACCTCAGAGGAATCAGCCCCTGAACTTTCTGGGGAAAGACTACAGAAGGCTAATGGCTTGCATATTGGAGCAGGAGGTGGAGGGAGGGGGAAGTTTATGTCTCTGTTTGTTTTTCCTATGGTTGAAAGAGTAAGTATAAAAAAGTTTAGGATAACTTTTAAATCTATACAGAATTAACAATAATAGCAGCTACAGGCTGGGCATGGTGGCTCACATCTGTAATCCCAGCACTTTGGGAGGCTAAGGTGGGTGGATCACTTGAGGTCAGGAGCTCAAGACCAGGCTGGCCAACATGGTGAAACCCTGTCTCTACCAAAAATACAAAAAATTAGCTGGGCATGATGGCACACGCCTGTATTCCCAGCTACTAGGGAGGCTGAGGTGGAAGAATCACTTGAATCTGGGAGACGGAGGTTATAGTGAGCCAAGATGGAGCCACTGTACCCCAGCCTGGGTGACAGAGTGAGATCCTGTCTCAAAAAAAAAAAAAAAACCAAAGAAAATAGCAGTTACTGTTTGTTGAGCACTTACTAGGTACTAGACTCTGAGCAAGTGCACCACATGATTGCATCGCCTCATTATGCTCTTCACAACCACTCTGTAAGGTGGTTCTGCTATCTTCATTTTAAAACCGAGGAGTTAGAGGCTCTTAGAGGCTAACTTGCTAGCAAGTGGCAGAGCCAGGGTTTACACCAGTTAATATATATAAAGTGCAAAGACAGTGCTTGACATATGAGTGGTCAATCAATGTTGGGTGTTACCTTCACCACACCCTAAGACCAAACCGCTATCAACTCTGGACAACTGTGCCAACCTCTTAACCAGTCTCCCCACTTCCACTCTTGCCTTGCTACAATCCACCCTCTAGACAGCAGCAGGCTTACCTTTAAAACACTTAAAATCCTCGCACAGACTCCCTTGGCGCTATAAATAAAATCCAGATCCCTCACTCTAGCCCACCTCCCCACTCTCACCTCATGTTCTTGCCCCTTGCTTACTAGACTCCAGCCACACTTGCCTTCCTGTTCCTTAAACCCAAGGCTTGTTCCCACCTCAGGGCGTCTGCCTCAGCTGCTCCCTCAAGGTGGCCTGCTCCCCTTCCCCATCTCTACATGCCTCCTTGCCAGTCAGCTCTCAGCATGAGTGTCACCTCTTCAAAGAAGGCTTTCCTGACCACTGCATCCAAGAGACCACCCAGTCCTTTTCTTTTTTCCCTGTTTTTCTTTTTTTCTTTTTCATTGCCTGGTCTCTCTGAACCTCTTTCTCTTTTTAATAAAACAGCTTTATTGAGATATAATTCACATACTATAAAATTCACTCATTTAAAGTATAAAATTCTTGGTTTTAGTATATTCACAGCTATGCAACCTTTGCTACAATAGATTTTACATTTTCGCTGCCCTAGGCCACACAAACTGACTTTCCATCTCTACACATTTGCTTGTTTTGGATGTATTCTGTAAATGGAATTATACAGTATGTGGCCTTTTGTGACTGGCTTTTTACACTACGAATGTTGTCAAGGTTCCTCCATGTGGTAGCAGGGATCAGTACTTCATTCCTTGTCCTTGCTGACTAATAATCCCCAAGGAGACACTATATTTCACTTACCCATTCAGCAGTTGATGGACACTGGGTTGTTGCCACTCTGACTGTTATGGGTAATGCTGCCATGAACATTTATGTTTACATATCACAATCTTTTATTAATAATTCTCTGCCATAGGCCGGGCGCGGTGGCTCAAGCCTGTAATCCCAGCACTTTGGGAGGCCGAGGCGGGTGGATCACGAGGTCAAGAGATCGAGACCATCCTGGTCAACATGGTGAAACCCCGTCTCTACTAAAAATACAAAAAATTAGCTGGGCATGGTGGCGTGTGCCTGTAATCCCAGCTACTCAGGAGGCTGAGGCAGGAGAATTGCCTGAACCCGGGAGGCGGAGGTTGCAGTGAGCCGAGATCGCGCCATTGCACTCCAGCCTGGGTAACAAGAGTGAAACTCTGTCTCAAAAAAAAAAAAAAAAAAAAAATAATAATAATAATAATAATAATTCTCTGCCTAGCACTTTATACTGGGAGTTTTGTTGTTGCTTTTTGCATCTTTCCCTTCACTAGAACATAAGCTCCACAAGAGCAGGTATCTAAGTCACCAAGATCCAGCCTGGAGCTGGGCACCATCGCTGGCCCTGAGTAGCCATCTGTTCCCGGAATAGACAACTGACAGACTTTAGGATGATGCCCTCTTCACCGCATTCTTTCCTTGGGGTAGCCAGTGCTTCTCAGTTTATATCAAAGTCCACAGGGAAAAGGCGTTTGCATCCAACAATGTGCTCACAAGATGTTTATTTCTGAGCTCTCACCAATTCTCAGTGTTGACTAGCCCCCTCCCACTCCACCCCTCAGAATCAGCTTGCACACTTCCAGGGGTGGAGACTTCACTACCTTATAGATACTATTGAGTCACTGATCAACTCTGGCTCATACAATTCTCCTTACATGGAGCTGAGCCCTGCCCACCCCTAGCTCCCCACCAAGAGCAGAGGAAATAACTGCTTTATGGCATCTCATTACCCAGAGCACTTTCTCCTCCAAGGTGAACAGCCCCATTCTCTCCTTGAGGCCTCATGGGATGAATGAGTCCTCCTTTGGCTGGGCCCTGGATGGCTAGCCCCTTTAAAATACACAGTCCTTATGTCCCACCTTCTCCTTCCTGACCTCATCATGGAATGGGCTCTCCATCAGGGAGGCCCTGAGATACTGCACCTGATCTCTAGTAGGGACTCAGTGAGGAGGTCAGGACAATGCCACTCACCTTCCCATCTGTGGTGACAGCTGCGAACACAGTAGAAGAGTATGGTGCCCAGGCCACATCGCCCACGGCTGAGTTCAGGTCATAGATGAACATCGGGGTCCTGCAGTGGTGGAGGGTGGAAAGCCCATGGCACAGAGATCTCATAGTACCACAGCCTGGGGGAGGGCCCAGGGCAGAGCCAGGAACGGGCCCCTCACTTGATGGTATGGTCCCAGATCTTCACTGTCCAGTCGGAGCTGCAGGACATGAAGACCTTGGTGTGGTATGGGTTCCAGGATACAGCGTCCACTGCCATGTTGTGGGCATCATAGGTATCGAGGAATTGGCTGGAGTAGGATTTAGAGCACTGGTAGGGGAGGGGACAGGAGTCAGAAGTGATAGAAAGGTCAGCAGCCACCACTCTTCTGGGGGCCTGGAGGATCTGAGCCTTAGCTTCCACTCCTATCCTTACCCCACGTTGCATCCCAGCTGAACTGGGACCAACCTCCTGGCTGCTCCTCCCACCCTCAGCACACCTGGGGGAAAGGAAGGGTTTGAGGGTCTGAGGATTCAGGACAGGCAGGGGAACCTTCCTGTAGGATGAAGGAAAGGGCTGTAGTCTGCCCAGTGCTCCAGATGTGGAGGCCTAGCCAAGCCATGTCCTGGAGAGCTGGGGTGGGGCTGGGTACCCAGAGTTTTCCATTCTCTAGCTCCCTCCAGACTGCCCATGCTGGGACCACCTGGCGAGGATTCCAAGCCAGGCAGAAAAGGCCTTCTCTCCTTAACAGAGGGCAAAGCATGTATCAGGCCCGGGGGGAGGTATGGTCTGGCCATCTTCTAGGCCAGGGCCTATGGACAGACAGACAGAGCCCTGGGTCCACCTGCAGCCCAGACATCATCCTTGCAACAGTGATAAACATCCCACCTTGTCCAGGCAAGAGCAGGTGCAGAGCCAGAGCCAACTTGGATCTCCAGATTTCCTATTCTGTTTCTTGCCCTGACCAGCGTGCCCCTCTCTCCCCACCTCCAGGAGACAGTGTGACTGAGTAGTCTCTCATTACTCCTGCCTCTCTTGGGCTGCCAGTGGGAGGGGTGAATAGGGGGTGGGGACTTCTTTTGCATTCAGACCAGCTCCGGCTGGGCCTCAGGGGCTCCCGAGAGGCTGCCTGTAATTAACATTCTAAGTCTCTGAGCCTAAGAAAAGCTTGCAGCAGAGCTATTTCTGGATGGATGGAGGTTCAGAAGGATGTTCACCTACTACCACTGAGACCTTGTAGAAACTGACCATCAGGTTCCATCCTGTTGGCTGGGATGTAGCCAGTATTCAGAGATAATTCTGGCCTTCAAAGCTCAACTCAAGTACAAATCTCCTCCAGGAAGTTTTCCCAAAATGTTTTAACTCCCCCAACTAGAGTTCCCACTTCTACCTCAACTCCCAGGAAGGGAGGGAGGACCTGGAGGAAAAGATGCGGGGCTGGGCTAAAGCCACCCTCTAGATTCTCCATCCCCTTTCCTGCATTAGCCCTTATTCCTGCCACCCAAGCAAGTCAAGAAATACATTCTCTTCCCTCAAGAGGCCTTCTAGAACTGATGGGAACTAAAATCCATCAAAATAGGATCTGTTGAGAACTCTTAAGTTCTCAGCTGCTCAGGTCTAAGTGGCCCTCTAAGGAGCTGGCACAGGGCGGCCTCACCTTGTAGATTTTTCCCTCCTCTGTGCCCACTAGGAACAGGTAGTCAATTTCTTTGTGGAAGTCAAAGGCAGTGCCACAACCTTGGGAGAAGAGGGAGGAGCAGGCTTAGCCCAGTTCTGAAAGGGAGGCTCCCAGCACCTCCCCTCCTCAGCAGAGGAGCTCAGCCCAGGCACTCTCAGTGCAGGACTCAGCGCAGGACAGACTGAACATGGGCCCCTGTAAGAGCTGGGACCAGGCCAGGCAAACAGAAACCAGCCCTCTGGCCTGCTTGTCCCAGGCAGTTAGGATTCTGCAAATGGCCAGGGGTTCTGCAGACAGGAATGGGGGCCTGGGTTAACAAGGAAGGCATTGAGTTAAACAGGGTCAGGGTCAGGGTCAGGGTAAACAGGGACAGGGTCTGCAAACAGGGACATGGTCTGTGCCAATAGGGATATAGTCTGCATAAACAGGGTAGGAATTGAGTAAACAGGGACAGTATCTGGATAAACAGGGGCCTGATCTGCATAAACAGGGCTGGATCTGCATAACAGCACCTGATCTGCATAAACAGGAACAGGGTCTGCAAACACAGGGATGGGAGCTGTATAAACAGGGAGGGTATGCACACAGTCAAGGGCTCAGCAGACAGGGCCAGGCCTTCCTGTTACGTCCTGGTGGGCTCTGGCACAGGTTGCGGACAGAACACTCAGTCAGGGGAAGGACCACTGTCACTGACCCTCACTGGGCCTGAATGACCTGGCCAGGCCTGGAGGTAAGGGGGCTGGGGCTCCTACCCACTGTGTGCAGCTGCAACCCCTCAGGAACTTCCGTGGTGCTGCCTTCCACCTTCAGCTTGATGACATCTATGTGGACCAGCTCGCTCTGTAGTCACAGAGGGATGTAGGGGGAGGGCACATGGGTTGGGCTGGGTCAGCAGGGCTGGGGGCTGCCCTTTGCCATTTAGCTCCCGCCTCCCCACTCACCCCCGTATGACCCTCTCTGGGAAACAGGCACCTTCACAAGAGTCCAAGATACAATCCTGCCATCAGATGACACAGAGAAGAAGTTAAGGTTTTGGTCCATGTCATCCTTCTGCCACTTGACCTGAAACATCCCAAAACATGAGGTCTGGGACCCTGCTAGGGTGTTGAGTTAGGTCTGTGGGCAGAGCAGGGATCCCCAAGCACCCATCTGAGGCTCAGAAGCAAGTTCTGGGAGCCCATTTCCCAGAATCCCATGATTGGTCCTCTCTCCCTTCTTCCATCCATCTCTGTCTCTCATTCCTTTCTCCTTGACCATCCTGGGGGAATAGTGCCAGTCAAAGCATTGCCTTAATTTACTGGGTTGGCAGTGGAGGTACCCAATCCTTCCCTGGGTTGGGTTCCAGGAGCCCCATTGCCGGGAGAAGGAAGTGGCTATGGGTTCAGCCACCTTACATAAATAAACATGACCTGGAAAGAACCAGGCCCATCAACCAGTTTCCTGTTTATAAAACAGGAGTCATAATAGCATAGGTTTGCCATGAGAAATAAATATGTGAAGCCCTTATGTCAGAACATTGCACATATTATATGTTCAATACATGATAACTAATGTCCTCATTAATACGATTATCCTAGGAATCTAGGTGCCAAGGTTCTGCAGGGGCCTTTCCCTGCTTGCTTGTGGGAGCTGGAGAGGAGCAGGCCCTAAGTCTCCTGCCCACCTCTTCCAGGGTTGGCCTTTCTCTAGGAAGTGTCTCCTCTGTTCCCACCTTTCCTTTGCTACTAACTCCTGCTCTCAAAACTTTGCTCCCAGTCCCAGATTTGAGCTGTGTTTCTTCATCTGCAAATTGGGGTTAATTATCCTGCCCCACCCATCTTCTCAGGGCTGGAAGCAAACATATGGGAAAGTGTTTTGGAGACAGAGCTGTTGTCTTATGAAGATGACACGCTCGAGACTCAAGTTTCTGTTGCCAGATGTGGAGGCCTGGCCAAGCCATGTCCCGGAGAGCTGGGGTGGGGCTGGGTGCCCAGAGTTTTCCATTCTCTGGCTCCCTCCAGACCGCCCATGCTGGGACCACTGTCTTGTCCCCCCCCCCGTCACAAGCAGAGGACCAGTGAGGGAGGCCAAGAACAGTGCCTTTGCCTGCTGCCTATAACTGCAGCTGTCACCAGGGTTGTTGGGGACTGAAGTGGAGAATGGGTTGTTTCTCCCCAGCCAGCCGGAGGCCTGATGGATTGGAGTTACAGGAGGGGGGCTGAGTCCTGCCTTGGCCTGTCCAAGCAGCTGGCTGTTTTGCACTTTCACTGGACTAGAGAGCATCACAGAGCCTGTGAGGTATAAGTCAGAGCCAGCCCTAATATTGAGACCACTTCCCCTTCTGTGTAAAAGTGGGCCTTTTAAAGGGGGGAGGGGACAGGGGGTGTCAAAGGCCAGGCTGTAAGAGGCGCTAGGGAGCTGCAAAGGGAAGTGTTTAATGAGCAGACGCCAGCACTGCATGGAAATTGTATTTCACACCCCACTTAGCAGCCTGATGCCCAGTGGGGGGTGGTGTGTGTGTATTTGCAAGTGACTGTGTATGTATGTGTGTGCAAGTCACACACCTGCTCCTGGGGTGGAGGTCGGCCAGTAGGAATAAAGCAAAAGAGGGAGGGTGGTAAGTGAGGTTAAGAGAAAGAATGAATTCCCAGGGACCAGGTGGTAGGGAGGAGCTGGAGCCTGCGTAACTGATTTATTCTCTTCTGCCTTATTTGATTAGGGCAGACCTACTTGATCCTAGTCTCTTGCTCATACATCCTTCCTGCCTCCTTCCCCAGAACTGCACCAGCATGTGCATCCCCATGCGCACGCGCACGTGCGCACGTGCACGTGCGCGCACACACACACACACACACACACACACACACACACACACAGAGTGTTGCTGGTTGAAGCTTCACTGTAGGGCTTGCACAGAGCTGGCTATTCAGGCAGGCTCCCTGGAGAAGAAGCCTGTGCTGTGGGACAGAAGCCCAATCTTCTTAGAACAGACAGTCCTCTCCTTGGCTCCAAAACCTTCCGTGGCTCACCACTGCCAACAGAACAAACTCCTTCTGCCTCAGCCTAGCATTTGAGATCTAACACAACCTCTCTGGCCTCCCCCAAATATCTCTGACACAGTCCTGTTATGTGGGACTTAGACTCTGATGTCTCTGACATCTCATTCAGCAGCCTGGCTCTTCTTCAAGCTCCAGGCTCATATAGCTGACTGGCTGGAGGACGCCTCCCTCTGGGTGTCCCTTGGGTTTCTTGTATTAATTTCTGGCCAAACCTGTTTTTCTTCTGCCATTTCTCACTTCTATGGATGGCCTACTAAGCACCTCAAACCCAGGCAGCATCAATTCTTCCCTTTCCCCATATCTAATCAATTATTTCCTTCTATTGATTTTACTACCCCACCAGCTGTCAACCCTGTCTTCTCATTTCTGTCTCCACTGCCCCTGCCCTAGCTCAGGCTTCAAAAATGCTCATGCTGTAGTCATAGGATCTATCCAAGAGACAAATATGGCCATGTTACTCCTCTGCCCCAAACTCTCTGATGGTTGGACAGCAATTTCCAAACTATGGTCAGGAGGTAGAGGGAATGATAATAGGGGACCCTCAAGCAACCTGGTCCTACCAGAGCACCACTCTCATCTTTTTAATATATTGGGTTTCTGCATAAACACTTCGCTTGAAACCACTGACCCAATGTCCGAGCATCTTAACTTAATAGATAAGCACAGGGTATTTCAAATGACGTGTCACTTCCCAACAGGCTACTCTGCTTGATGCTCCATGTCATTGCATATGTGGCCCCCTTTGTACCCTTCTTCATCTCACTAACTCTCCTCCCTCACAATCTAGCTCAGGTGTTGCTTCCTCTAGAAAGACCTGCCCAGCCCTCCAGCCCCTGGTCCCCGTCCAGGACAATGTGGGTGCCCCTCCTTGCACACTTTTACTTTAGCACTTAGCATGCTGCTCTGCCCTGGGCAGCCTGTGGCTGTGGTTATCTTCACAGTGGGAACTCCAGAGATCAACCAGAGGAGCACACAGGGAGGAGTTACTGAATGGATGAATGAGTAAGTGAATGAATGAGGAGGGAGGAAGGAATGAGAAGAAAGGAAGGGAACAGGAAGTGAGTAAACAGGTGAGAGACAGGTGGCTTCTGCCTATGTCACATGCCATGATTCTATATAAGAACCTGAGTCTCCCATTTTGCAAAGGCAGCAGCCCTGTTTTCCTGGCAGGATAGGACGGCAGAAGGCTGCCCTGTCCAGCTGAGTTCCTGTCTTCCTGGGACCTGCTCAGTGAAAGCAATAATGCTTCTTCTCAATGCCCTGCAACCTGCTATTTCCTGCAACCTGCCATTTTCCCTGCAACCTGCTATTTGATTTAGAGAACATAGCAGAGTAGGGGTAGGGTAGTTGGCCTGGGCCTCTGCCCTTCTGTTTGGCTTGAGGAAGGAGGGTGGTCAAGCCAACCACAGATGCTCTGCGCTTGGCCCTAGGCTACCTGAGTTGGGAAAGCAGGGGAGGGCTGGGCCGGGTATGATCACGGTAAGTCTTTTCTCCTCTCCTTGAGCTTTAAAGTTTCTACAGACATCCTCCCTCTGCCTGGAGACCTTCACGTGCCTGGAAGGCCTGCTGATGAATTGGTAGGTGGACTTTTTGGTGGAGAAAACTCCTGAGGCTACAACCTCTGGTCTCTGCTTTGTTGGAGAGTAGCTGGGGAGGGTATATGGCAGGAGGGTCTGCCTCCCTCCCACCCTCTGCCCCAGGCTCTGGGTAAAGGATAAAGCTGAGAGGGTACCATGGCCCCTGTGCCTGGGCAGTCCTCCCTCTGCTCAGGCCTATCAGTGCCAGGCAGGTGTCCACATGTCTCAGGAAGCTCAGGGCTGTAAGAGGCAGGAGTACAGAGCTTGCCTGCAGACTGTCAGGGCAGGGCAAGAGGGAAGTGAAAGAAGAGAAGACAGAGTTCCCAGTGCTACCCGATGCGCCCAGAGACCTTGAGCAACGTGAGGCAGAAATTCATCCTTAGATCCTCCCAGATCTGCCCATAAGAAAAGAGTACACAGCCTTTGAAGGAAGGGGATCTTTGGGACACGATAAGGAAGGGCCTACCAAGCCACAGCTAAGAGACCCTCTGAGAGTGGAACTGAAATCTGTGCCCAGTGGAATATGATGGGAAACACAGAGTCAGGGTGAAATCCAGCCCCACTGTCCAGGTAATGGTTCCAGGCTGGTGCCAAACTTCTGCAGAGGCCTCACCATCACTCTAAGCCTGTCTGAAGAAGAGGGGGTGCTACAGAGAGGCTCAGTGGCAGACCTGGCCTACCAGGCCTTACATTCCCACCCAAGGGCAGGCAATTAGCAGCACCTACCCCTGTCTGGGAGTTTCCCCAGATCTAGCCCAGATGGCAGATGAAAAGCCGTGTGGGGAGTTGAGGAAGCTTGTGGACAAGGACCTGGTCTTTAACATACACTTGACCCTTGACCAACAACTTTGAACTGCATGGGTCCAAAGGTTTTCTTCTGCCCTTCCACCCCTGAGATTGCAAGTCCAACCCCTCCTCTTCCTCCTCCTCCTCAGTCTCCTTAATGTGAGGATGAAGACCTTTGGGATGATCCACTTACATTTAATGAACAGTAAATATATTTTCTTCCTTATGATTTTCCTAATAACGTATTTACTTGCTTAATTATAAGGATAGAGTATATAAAACATACGTAACACACAATATATGTGTTATTTGTTTATGTTGTCAGTAAGGCTTCTGGTCAAAAGTAAGCTATTAGTTATGTTTTTGAGGACTCCAAAGTTATACACAGATTTTTGACTGTGTGTGGGGATCAGTGTCCCTCATCCCCACATTGTCCAAGGGTCCACTGTACTCAGCTGGAGCCTGTCAGACCCTGAAAGCTTCCAGCTATGACTTCTGAGTTACTGACTGCCACATCTAAGAGATCCTTGGCAAACAGATGGGGCCCTCCTGAGGGGTGGTCTGGAGCAGCAGACCCCAGCTCTCACTGGAGACCCTCTTGCTTCCTGATTTTCACCTTCTGCTCTTTTCTGCCTTTTCTCACACCCAGATCCTGGCCTGCTGGTACCTGCCATCCTCATCCCCCTGCCTGTGGTCCTCTCCTCCCCAAGGTCCCTCCCTCCTCCAGTGTCTCCAGGCCCACACGCTGGTCCCATCCCCACCCCTCCTACCCTGATTTGAGGCTGACCTGCCACACAGGGTCCGTGTGCTTGCCAGACTTGGCTGAGCTGCGGAAGGAGGGCTGGGAGTGGGGCTTCTTGAGGTTATAAATGGCCACATTGCCATCATAGTGGCCCACTGCCACAAGGTAGGGGTGGTCCACGTGGATGTCGAGACACATGATGCCGCTGTCGCTGCTGAACATGTACTCAGGGAAACTGGGGTTCTTCATGCTGTAGAGCAGCAGCATGCCCCGGCTCTGCTTCATGAAGTCATCTACCCAGGGAAGATAGGCAGCTGAGGTTGGAGGATCCAACTGCCCTGCCCGGGAAGCCCCTCACTCCTACCCCACTAGATGGGCAAGCCCTGCTCTGCTTTATGTCTGTCAGAGAGTGTGAGATTCCTCTCTGGACTTTATCTTTTCCATCTGTGAAGTGAATTTATGAGATCTGACTGCTTCTAAGTGAAGAAGATGTGTGAGCTTGGGAAGGAGCAGTACCCTCAGTGGGGGTTTGGATGCCCAGCCCAGGGGCAGGCAGCTTTCCATAGATGCACGGATAATGCCCATGTACCCCTCCCCCCAGCCAAGTACAGGTTAAGCTTGAACATGGAATTGTCTACAGTGGGTCCCAAACTAGCCACGTATGAGCATATCCCCACAGTCCCAGGTGCAGCCTGAGCCCTAGATCTAGGCACGCTTCCCAAATCCAGAAGTCCCAGGCCAGCCAATCAGGCTTCCACAGGCCCACCTGGCCTGGGCACAGTTTTTGGTGATCAACAATGGACCACTCAGCAGAGGCCCTTGTTCCCATCAGCCCCATGTCAAGGGAGTGCCTCCCACTCTTTCTTACATTTTCTGTATACTTGGCACCCATCCCGAAATGTAGTCATGAACATAGTTCCAGCCCTCCTGCCACCAGCTCAGTCCTCCCAGCCTCCTCACCAAGCTCAGGGGAGCCGGAGCTGGAGAGGTGGAAGGCTGGTGTAGACTCCACCTGGGGGCACTCTGCCAAAGCAGAGGGCATGTAGGGGTATCAGACCAGGTCAGGAGGAAGTAGATGCCAAGCTACAGAGACAAGGATACCAGTCCAGCCACTGACTGACAGCAGGCTTCCTCTCTTCCTGTGCTGTCCTAAATGAGTCTAGCCCAGGACTAGCTCCAAGACAGCAGCTGTTTAACAACTCCCTTATTAAGTCATGCAAAAGGCACTTGGAGGGGGTGTGTGGTAAGCAGAATAGGGTCCCCCTGCAGAGATGTCCAGATCCTAATCCCCTGAACCCGTAAACATGTCACTTTTCATGGCAAAAGGGATTCTGCAGATGTGATTAAGTTAAAGACCTTGAGATGGGGAGATTATCCTGGATTATCTGGGTAGACTCTATGTAATCACAAGGGTTCCTATAAGGGAAAGAGGGAGGCAAGAGTCAGGGAAGGAGATGCAACCATAGAAGCAGATGTCAGAATGATTCGATTGCTTGCTGGAAGGGGGCCACAAGCCACGGAATGTGGGCAGCCTGTAGAAACTGGAAAGGACAGGGAAACGGCTGCTCTCCTGGAGCCTCCAGAGGGAATGCAGCCCTCTTACCACCTGGTTTTGGTTCCATGAAACCTATTTTGGACTTCTGACCTATGATAATTTTGTGTTATTTTAAGCCATTAAATTTGTGGTAGTTTGTTACAGAAGCAGTGGGAAACTAATATAGCAGACATTTAGGGAAAAATGACCAAAACCTACTTTTAGGAATTAGAGAGAGGCTCTCATAGATGGTACTTTTTTTTTTCTGGGATGGTTTGGAAGCCATCCCTCTAGAAGTCAGCTGGATGGATGTAATGCTCCTTGGCTTTTCTGATGACAATAATGAAACCCTCTCTCCATTTCCTATACCTCAGCCTTGCCACCTTGGACTCCAGGAACAGAAATGCCCCTTGTGTTAGGACCTTCGTAGTTTCCAAAGGCAGGGGACCAGCCCAAGGCTGCTCTAAAAAAGGGCATCAATTGCTAGAGGGTTCAAAACCTCAAGCATGGCCCAGAGGCCATGGTGCCAGGCTGGGCTCAGTCTCTTGAGCAGATGGGCTTTTCCAGGCACTCTCATTCAATTCAAAGTCATATTGAAACAGTGAGGAAATAAGAGCAAGGCCTTAGAGACAGAATACATCAAGCGGGACATTTAATTTGATTTAGGGAAAATGAGGCAAACATTTGAGAACCTAAATAACTAACCAGTAATTAAACTAACAACGGGAATGCCCTTGCACTACAACCCAGCAAGCACAGTGGCCTTTATGGACTGTATTTACAAAGAGACCTGACAACATAATTAGTCCTGTAAATTTTACGCAGCCTGCAGCCGAGGAGTGATAGATTTTGTGTGTGGAGGATGAATGAGGAGAAATGAGGTGGATGAATTTCCATTTTCAGTAAATGAAATTAACACTGCTTAATTAGTGAAGCTGACAAATAAATGATCAGGAAAGATTTAAATCCCTACACATGTATCTCTGGCCTGGGCAGGCTCAGGGACAGGCCAGGATGAGTGGTGGGAAAAAGTGCAAATAGATTTAGTGCTGGAACTCAGAGCCTGACATTGGCCCCTTTTGAGGGTGCTGTCCCCAGAGAGAGGCTGGGCTGGGGAACAGCTGGCTCCTCTGCTCTTCCAATACATGGCTCTCTGGAAAGCTTCCTGCCCCATCTCCTGTGTGACAGCCTCAGGATCACACAGAGCATCCTGATCTGTTCCACTATCCGTGCCTGGCAGACCATGAGGAGTCCCTGTGTCCCTGCTATGAACTGGCTAATGGGCTGGAAAGGACCCCTTCAGTACAGCCGGCTGACATAATTGCATCCCAGCAGTCCCAAGGCCATATCTTCCTGGGCTAGTTCCTTTGCCTTCCAACTTTCCTCCACCTGCTTTGTACATACTGACAGCCTCTTCTCCACTCTGCTGGCAACATGGAACCTATCCCTAGGGGGCATCCCAATCTTTGCCCTTTAAGCAGCCTAATGTGCCCACTACCTGGTACCCAGAAGCTATAGAGGGGAAGCATGAGGGGATATTCCTGTGCTGTTGCAGGCAATTGCCCAGATTTTCTTTTCTCTACCTGCTTCTTCCTGGCTGGCTCCAACAAAACTGGCCTATCCCAGAAATGAGGGATTGGCTCCAGTCCTTCCTAGGGTACATACCTACCCCTGCCAAAGTTATATTTGGCTGAGTCACAGAATAAATATCTGGGAATAAAAAAAGGAGGTTTATGACGTCTAAACTAAGCACACCAGAGTCAAACCCAACAAGAAATCCAAATTCTAACTCCAGTGTTTGTCCTCATGAGGCAAAATCTGATTCTCGGAGGGTGGTATCTGGAGCTTCCAAAGACAGTGTGCTGGATGCTGGTGAGACCAGCTGCTCCTCACAATGACCCACAGCCAGCAGCTAGGGTGTCTTCTGCCTGCCCCAGCTTTACCCTCTTTCTCCAATGGAGGCACTCAAGAGCATGGGATTCCCGGAGCCAAGCTCAGGATGGATGCAGGGGCCTTCCTGAGTCCCAGCCCAGCCTGGCTCTGTTCAGGCCTCTGCAGGTGGTTCTGAGATATGCAAGGCTCTGGAGAATAGATGCTCATCTGAAAGCCAGGCAACAACCCCTGAACCAGTGACAACAAAAGCCAATACCACTGCTACTGCCACTGGGCCCTGCTCCCTAAGAGACTCCCCTCTGTCCCCACAGCCCCCTTCTCTGCTTAGGCCCCCTGAGGGTACTGCAGGAAAGCTAGGGAAAAGAATGACAGAGAAATCAGCAGTGATTGTCCTTTATGTGTAGGTGGTTCCTCCGCTTGCAGCATGTTTACTTCTCTCTCAAGCGTACCTCACAATAGCCCTGGAATGGAGGCCTGGCAGGTTGTCAGCCTTTCTGTGTCACCAATGAAGAAACCAAGGCTCAGAGAGGCCTCTGGTCCCAGGTATGTCACTCAGAAGTTACACCTCCACCCCTAGGACTGTAGCTGATGATGGGTACCACTCAGGCACGTGGATGTAGCTAACAGGATCAAGGAAGGACAAAGAGACCTTTCCCAGGTAAGCCCCTACCCAAAGGACGTTGCGGGCTTGTCAGGCTGAAGTCGTCTGCTGGTGGGAGATGAGTGACTCTACTGCTCCTGCCCAAGGTTGCCCAGCCCCCCAGTCCCCACGATAGCCTCCACATGACCCCAACCAGCTAAGCCTGCTTCTGAACCTGGGTGGGAGGCGGATGGGGCTAAAACTAAAGCAGTTTATCCTCCCTCCTTCTGGGGAGCAACCCCTACACCCCTGCCTCAATCCTGGGCAGAGAACCTGGGCTGAGAGCAGCCTCACAGAGGGGTCCACACCCACTCCTGGAAGGGACTTCCCAACTCCCAGGCCCCAATCCAGGCCCAGTAGCTGCAGCAGAGGGGGAGGAATGTGCTAGTTCCCTGCCAGAGGGGGAGGGCACTTCCCACTTGGCAGCAGCCCACCCTCAGGAGTGGGGACATAAAGCAGTCATTTAGGGCATCCTCAAAGGCGGCCCAGACCACAAGACTGGGAGCAGCTCCAAGATCTCCTCCCTGAGAGGAATGACAAACACCCCCTCCCCCTCCCCCCCTCCCCCTCCCCCTCCCCACCCTGGTCAAAGAATGGGCGGACAGGCAGTCTGAGGGGCAGTGACTGGGAGTTTGTATGCCTGCCAGCCAGCAGCAGCTTGGAGAACGGAAAGGTTTTTGTGTTTGCAGAAGCTGATCCTCCCAGCCAGAGAAGCTGTTAGCACTGGGGAGCTGAGACTACTGCGACGTGTAGGGCCCTCTCCCGTTGGGAAGGAGGAATGTTCAGGCCAGCACAGCAGTAGGGGCTTCTTCTGGGACCAAGTCACATGAAGGGAAAGCAAATCGCCTGGACAGTTTCCACTGTGCTGCCTTCTGGCCTCGGGTGGGTAACTGGCAGGGGTGGGCACACTCTGGACAGCAGTGGGCTACCAAAGCTCAGGGGCTCCCATCCCCCAAGCCCCCACCCACCCGAATCAGGAAGGCCTGAGGAGGACGCAGGAAGGGGGCCTCCTCCCCCAATCCGTGTGGTAAGGTCCTGTCCTCTCTCCTTGGGATGCCTGCACCAGTCTCCTAACTGGTTTCCTGGCCTCCAGTCTCACACCTGCAATGCCTGCAATTCCTCCAAGCACTGGTCATGTCCCTGTCCTTCTTGAATTCCTTCAGTGGTTTCCCCTCAGGAGAAGGTCTAAGCTTTTTGGAATGGCTTACCAGACCCTTTGAGGGCTGACCCTGGCCCTGCCAGCAGCTTCATATTCTGCCATATTCGTCATGCCTCCAAGCCTTTGCATCTGTGGGTCCCTCTGCCGGAAGTGTTCTCCCCTCTTTCTTGTCAGAATAACTCCTTCTAGGCTCCATTGGCGCATTCAGCTTAGAATATTCCTTCATCCAGCACTAATTGCCAGTAGGATTCTGGGTCTTCCCCATTAGACTGTGAGCCCCCTGTGGGCAGTAACTATGTCCAGGCCATCTTTGTATTTCTTACAACTGGCAAAAAACCCTACACAGAGTAGGTACTTAGTGTTTGCTGTTTACAGGAACAAATAAATGAATAGCCAGATCACTTACAGGAGCCATATCCCACTGCAAACAGATCCCTGTACTTTGGATTCCTGCAAAAGAAATATGAATCCATTGGCATAGGAAATGAACATGGCCCTCCTGTGGACAAGGGCCTTCCCATGGGGACTGCCTAACTATACCACAGACGTCTATTCTCCAGCTTAGACCCTCACCAACTGGGAGTCCTGGGAATGGTCCTGTGATCTCATTAGAATCCAAGTTTCATATTTTTTCATATTGCCACATGTCATACTCAAGGTGGTTAAGTGCAGAAGGGGCTACTGGGGGTCTGGCATGCAGAGGGCACTCAGGGGCTCTGGGTTTGCTGCAATTCCTATACCTACCAGCAGAGGGCGGTGACAGACAGGTGCTTGGCTTTGTCATTTTGGAACTTCCAGAGCGGCAGCAGGGTACCCTCCTGGTCCCGGTATTCATCAGCAGCATCCTCGTAGTACTTAAAATCTTACACATACACAGGCAGAGTCAGCCCTGGAACTGCCACTTTATGGCAAACCAAGGTCTACCACTTACTGTCTATACCTCCTTGGGCAAAACAATGAACCTCTGTTTTAGAGTGGAAATAATAATGCTACCTATCTCAGAGCTCTGTTGTGAGGATATAGTAATAGAGTTAATGTACACAAAGAGCTTAGAAACATGCCTGGCACATGGTAATCTCTATGTGTTAGCTACTGTTACTGTCACTGTTGTTGTTGGAGGTACATTACAATAAAGCAGCCATGTCTACCCGGATAAAATCCCAGGTTTTGCAGCCCTTGTTCCCATGTTTCCCTAGCACTTCAGGAGGCTCCATTTGGAGCAGCCAAATTTCAAGGGTTCAGCTGCCAGGGGCTGATTAATAGTTCTATTAATGCTGCCTCCAAAATCCCTAAAATGCAGCCCATTTTCATATCCACAGCCAAGCCTCACTATTGTGAAGCTGCCTGGGTCCCCCATGGGTTCTCTGAACTCAACTTCATCTCCTGCCCACAAACTGTCTCTGCCCCCCATTTTCTTTAAGTTAGATAGATGCCCCATTCTTCCACTTGTCTAAACCAGAAACTGAGTAATCCTTGACTGATCTCTTTCCATCATTTCTCATATTTTCCTTCTGACTATCTTTTTAATTCATTCACTTCTCTTCAAACCCATGGCCCCTGCCCAGGTTCAGGCCCCAACATCCATCACCTGTATTATGACAACATCCTTCTAACTGGTGTCCTACCCCCAGTAACTCTTCCTCCAACCCTTGTTTCACAGAACAACCAGAGTGAGAACAAACAAATCACCTCACCACACCCATTTCCTCACTCCACTGAAAGCCCCTCAATGGCTCTCCTTGCAGAGGAGATCAAACCAAGGCTCCTGGCCGGCACTTCCACATTTTTTCTAGTCAGCTGTTCATGTCCCCTCCATATCAAATCATGCCAGTGAGTCTAGTTGTCTCCTGTTCTGTGTGTTTCTACATGGTTTTCCATGTCTAAGATGTCCCGTTCTTCCTGGCAAACTCCTACTCACTCTAGATCTAGATTAAACTCCTCCTCTCCTGCAAGGCCTTCATTTTCTTTTGAGTAGTAATTTCTTCCTCTGTTCCAGCCCTGCCTCTCCTCTACTGAAACATCTGTCACACTAGGTCGCCTCTATCCTTTTGCCTGTCTCCCCCACCCGACAGAACCTAAAGAGCAGGAAGTATATGTATTCATCTCCGGATCTCCAGTGCCTAGCACAGGGCCAGCCACAAAACAGACAACCAAAAACTGTTTAAAGAATGTAGTGAAATTAATCAACAGAAGTAAAGTAGTTCTTGGTCTTATGTCAACAAAGGGTGACCAATTAGCAAATGAATCCTGTCATTCAATGAAGCCAAGGACATGCCTAGACATCGCCCTGACATCTCCTATAGTGCTCACACCTTGAGGTTGTGGGGCTTCATTCAAATCTCAAAAATGTCTCAGAACAAAAAAGATTCTAGTGGCCTGAGAGGCGTGAGCCTTGATCACATCAGAGATTCCCCAGCTTGGGTTATCTTTGAAAAGACTTCAATTCAGAGCAGAGATTAATTGGTGACACTTCTCTATTTTCATGTCTCCTTCATGATTACACTTTCCCAAAGGGGAAAGAGTATGCAATTTAAAAAATCAAAGTTCAATGCATTTTTATGTGACTGTGTTCTTATAAATGAAAGTGGTTCACCAAGGCCAATTTCTCCATGGATATTAATCAGGTTTGCAGCCCTTTGGTGGGCCACTTGCAGAGGCTGGTTTCAGGAAGCCAAGCTGTGTGAATGACAAACTCATTCACAGCTGCTGTGTTCTTTGACAGTTTTGAAAAGCACTCAAGGTCGTTTTCCAGCCTGAATGATAACGAGGGGGCTTGTTTAGGCTGCTGGTTTTGGCAGCCCTGGTTTCTGTGTCCCATGGGTGAGCAATGAGCATCAAGTCACCAAGAAGAGTCCTAGGCTGTCAGCAAAGGAGACCAGCCAGTGTCGAGGAGCTGCCAACTCTGGGAAGGCAGCTGCTCCAAATAAATGCACAACCTCTTAGGGAAATACAAGCCACTTGGGAATTTGCTGTTCATGCCATGGGAAGGATTCTGTTTCCCTGACACTGTCAAAGACACCAGAATTTCCCAGGCCCCCAGGATTTAAGCATTTCTGAATCAATCTCTTTCTTCACCTCATCACTAATTAATCACCAGGATAGATCTATTGAGTGTGTTTATTTGAAATGTCTCTTCCAGCTCAGTGGCTTTGCAGCCTAGTGCTGAAGTGCTTAGGCTATGGATCCAAGGGGCCTGTTTCGAGTTCTGATTCCACCACTCACACCTTATGTTAGCTGTGACTTTGAAAAAGTGGCAACATCCCAGCCTGAGTTCCTTGTCTATAAAGTGGAGATGATAATGGTGTTCACCTCACAGTGTGGCTATCAGGAACAAACAAAATAACAACATATAAATTGCACAGCACAATGCCTGATATACAGGCCACTCCCAGTGAATGCTGGAGCTTGTTTCTCACTATTATAGCTGTTCCCCTTTCTCCATCCCTTAAGACACAGGCTGGGTCAGGGGTGATAAGGCCCATTCCACCCCACATTTGAACCTCACCTTCACCTCTGCCCTGTATGGTACCCAATCACATCCTCCTCCAGCCTTGCTCTCATCGAGCTGTGTCCCTGCCTAGAAAGCTTCAGTTCTTTGAACTGTCTGCAGAGATAGCTCATATTACTTGAATGATACTCAAAGTCTTTCATAAATGGGCTCCAACCACTTCTCCTGCCTGAACTCTCACCTCTTTTCAACAAAGCCCTGGAGCCTGCTGCCTTTTGTCCCCAGAGTCCATTCCTATTCAGTTTCACTGCCAAGATACTGCTCATGCCATCCCTGCCCAGAACATCCTCCCTGTAGCTATCTTCTCTCTCACACTCCACTTCTCCCTTGGCATCTAGCTCAGCCCTCTCCAAAGACTTCTTGATTACTCCCACTCATCCCTCACTTTCCTTCTTTCCTACGTGAGGATCCCCAGAGTGGTTTCTGTCTACCCCATACATTCCAGTACATATAGCATTCCCAAGGTGCACTGAGTGGAGTACACGGAATAGAATGAGGAAGCTCAAGACCTCTATTTGGGTCCTCTCTGCCACTCACTAGTCAGGTGGCCTTAGCCTTAGCTTCCTCATGTGTAGAGTAATGGCAAGTCTCTGCTCTGCCTGCCTCCCAGGGTTATCAGGAAGATGAGACTGGATCACCAATGTGCAGGTATTCTTTGCTGCACCATTGTCAGATCTCATCAGTATACCCATTGTTTCTTATGCCATCAGTCATGATTAATCTGCATAAGTCTTGTCTACCCAGTGACATCCAGAGGATGGAAGGATTATTTTTTTCTTCACTTGAAACTATAGGACCTAGCATGAGATAACCAAATAACGCAAGCTTTTATGAGAAATTTTTAATACAGGAAATAATAGTGGTTGCCAGCACTTCAACTCTTACCTTGAGCAACATCATCATATGTATTCTGGTTGACCATCCGCTCCACGATCTTAGCAGCTTGGGACACTTTGGTGATATCATCAGTCTGTGGGGATACAGAAACCTCAGGTCCTCATAAACCAGCACCTGGCAAGGTTATATGTCCAGAGCCATGTCACACTTGCAATTGCTTCAGCAGTGCCTCTCTGACACCACTTACCCCAGACAGCTCTGTAAAGGTTTCTCTGCATGTCTCAAGGCCCAGCTCATGCCACTACTCTCTTCCAGGAACTCCTACCTCACAAGTGGCACAAAGGGTCTGAGCTGATATATTTGGCCCCTGGGTAGAACCTGCTTCATGCTTTTCATCTGGACTTGTTTTAGAGAAGACATATCTCTGAGCACAAAACAGGGCATTGAAAAGAGCCTGGGAAGGGTCTGGAGGGGAGAGCAGTGTCCTCTGGCCACAAGGAACTGGGTGATTGGTGATAGTTCCTTTGAGGTAGGAGGACAGAGCCGCATGCTCTCAAGTCAGCATTCCCTCGGGTGACTTCCCAGCTCCATCAGTCATGACATGGCATATCAATAACAATAGTTAATATTTATTGATCAGTAGCACAAAAGTGCTATGTTAGGGGCTGCACTTGTATTGTCTTAGGTTCCATGACAATCTTGCAAATCGTTAGGTATCAATCTAGGTATCGTTAGGGTGTCTTTACAGATGAAGAAACTGAGGTTCCACAAAAACTGAGCTAAAAAACGGCAAAGCCAAGATATAAACCCAGGTATGTAGGCTCCAGGGCCTATGCTCTGAGACCCACATGGCCGGCCAGTACCTCCTCAGCCTGACCACTCCTCTCCTGTCCCTGGGAGACGCAGGTTTCCAGTTGTGTTCTGAGGAGAGTGTTGTGGGCTGTCACTTCCTTATCCCGGATACTATGCTACTGGAGCAGACACATATCTTTATTAGTTCTAACTAAACTTGCGGCCTGTGAGCCTTTTCCTCCTTTCCTGCCTAATAATTCTGATCAGACAAACTTGCATTGATTTCTGTGAATTCACCCAAATCACTGACGAGACAGAGACCTGAGGTCCACCAGGGAGGCCCTTCCTATAGGGTATCATGAAGTTTTTCTCTTTTCTCCCCTCTAGCACATTTGAGTTTTCTACCCACATAATCAGACCCTGTTCTTTGAGGAAGGGGTATCACTCTGCTCAAGCACTGAGTCTGGGCAATTGGGAAGGTGACTGTCTCTCCCACTGTGTTGCACAGACAGCCTGGCCCAGTACTTAGGATTTCTAGTTATTGCCTTTGGGAGAGGTTGCACACCAAGGCAATTGCTGGGTGGGGCTGGGGGTGGGTGTCCTGCCTCCAGTGTGGACTCTTGGTCCAGAGGGTGGAATCTGCTTGTATCATAGTCTTTTTTCCCAAGTCAGGTAAGCTTGAAGAGTCCGGTGTCATGGAGAGGAGTCATCCCTCATCCCTGAGGATGTCAGCCACCAACTCTGGCAAGGCTTAGAACACAAATCAGATTCTAGGCTCAGCCACAGGGACTTCTCTTCTGGTTTCTGGGTCCTAGCAATTACAGTTGAGGTTTCTCCAACCATGGGTCTCAGCACAGAGCTCATAACCCCTAATGGATCTTCATGTGAACCCTGACCTAGGCCAGTGGCGCCTGTGAAGCCTCTAACGTCTAAAGAATGGATCAGGGGAAGCCAAGGGTCTGCACAGAGTAACTCTCAGGGCAGGAGTTCCATCTTTCACCTCAGACTGCCAGTACCCAGCATGGCTATGATCACTAGGTACTTAGTGATTGAATAAAACAGCATTCAGACAGTTCCTGTAAAGCCAAGGCAGGGGACCCTTAAACTTCCCCTAAAATGTGACATTATCAGGATAATGAAACAGAATTGAGTGGAAGTGGACACACCTCAGGCATAGGAAGCAGCACCTCCTTTATCTGGTCTAGCTTCGATTCTGGAGTGGAGCAGAACCACCATTCCAGAGCAGCCATGGGAACTCTCCGAGGTGCTGAAATCAGCCCTCAGATTCCTGTGGACATTGTCGCTCCCATGCCATTGCAAGTCAAACCCATCCTGATCCACACTGGCTCCTGATCCTGATTTCTCTCTGTTAAAGGGACAATGTGGCCCTCCAGCGTCTCCCTGTGTTGATCTTCCCTTCAGTGACTCCCATGATGATCCCAAACCTATGCTGGCTAAACCCACAGTGAGCCTCCCAACCATGACCTTTATAATGACTTCTATGTGGCTCTTCATGGCAAATATAGCCCAGGGTGGTCAAACCCATTGCCTAGCATTGATGGTATCTGTGATCATCTCTGATCTGGCTCCTGGCCCTGAAGATTCACTTACAGTATAGGGCACAAGTAAACCCATGCACCGAAAATGAAAAGGCATCTCACTTTCCCAAATCCTATAAGCCCTTACCCAGGGAAGTGGTACCTTATCCTCACATCCCACCCCCACCCTAAGCAGACTCCCCAGCTCTTCCAGAAGGCATATAGTTCTTTCAAAAAGAAACATGTCTTCTGTTACCCTCTAGCTATATAATTCTAAAATTCTGCTAGCCTCCAGATCTATCAAACTGGGGGGAGGTATGGAATGCTAGAGGCATTTGTAGCTCTCCTCACATCTTCTCCTAAGGAAAAAACTATTTATACCTCAACATTAGCCCCTGATATAAGCATCTGTGAAACCCTCCCAGACAGCCAGGCTTCTGTCTACCCAGAGGCCAAGGCCTCATTCAGAATTCTGTGGTAGAGTTATAGGAACTAACACCAAACCTGAGACTCCAGAGATGTCAGCTTCCTCATGGCCATCTTTCCTGTTTTTTTAGCCACTGGGGTCTTTGCCTTCTCCTTCTCTTTGGTCTTTTCCTGCTTCTCAAGTTCCTCTACATAGGCATCATAGATCTCCCACTAAGCAAGGGTGAGATAAGAAGGATCATTGTAAGGTAATCTTTACCCAGACAGCCCTTTTCAGCCTTCAAGACTTAAGGAGTTGGTCATATTAACCCTGGCCACAAGCATCCTCTACCTGACCCATTGGAATTATGTATCCAATACCTGTCTTCCCTGCAAATCACCAGCTCTAGAACAAGAATAAAAGAGTTCTAAGGACATCTCTGGGCTGGGTTTATCTACTCTGAAACTCAGGGGCTGAGTCTTTAGCTGGAGATCAACACTGTTCTAGCATGCAGCCCCCAGCAGGCAGAACAAATGGGCAAACATCAGGCCAGTTCCCATGTTTTTGTTCATGATTTATAAGACCCTGAATTAGAATATTTAAAAAATAGGCTGGCACAGTGGCTTATACCTGTAATGCCAGCACTTTGGGAGCCTGAGGCAGGTGGATTGCTTGAGCCTAGGTGTTTGAGACCAGCCTGGGCAACATGGCAAAACCCCATCTCTACCAAAAATACAAAAATTAAACAGGTGTGGTGGCATGCATCTGTGGTCCCAGCTACTCAGGAGGCTGAGGTGGGAGGATTGCTTGAGCCCAGGAGGCAGAAGTTGCAGTGAGCTGTGACTGTGCCACTGAACTCCAGCCTAGAAGTCACAGCAAGACCCTGTCTCAAAAAAATAAAATATATATATATATTTATATATCTTATATATATAAATATATATTATAGTGCTTTCAATAAGGAACGTGTCTTATTTCTTATATATTTTATATATATACATAATATATATACATATATATTATATATATAAATCTATCTATCTATCTATCTTCATCTTCCCACCTCCACCCAGGACATGGTATAAACATACTGGCTTGGGTTGGCTGTCTATGGCACTGACAACACCTCATCATTAAAGGTAAGGGAACCTCTGCTAAGAGGATCTGACAGGAAGAAAAGCCCCAGGATAGTAGCAGAGGAAGCAGCAAGGATCTGGGGCTGGGTAAATGCCCCATCACACCGTGTGCTCCCTAGAGCTGGGCAGTCACTGCCACCTGGAGGTCAGATAGGCACACCCTACATTTAACAATTCCCCCACAATCTCATATTCCACATTGCAAAGTACTCCAACCTTTGTTATCTCATTCAGACCCTCCAACAACTCTGTAAGGCAGCTTGTCATCCTCTCTTTACAGAGAAAAAAACTGAGGCATTAAAAGTGACATGGTTTGCTCAGGATCTTACAGTATGAACAGAAAATGTGAGGTCTGAGATCAGATCCCCTGGCACCATAGCCTCTTCAAATAAGTGTGGCATCCAGGAGGACTTGAAGGGGAAAGGGGGCTGCAGGAACACTGCAGGCTGCTGAAGGGCATGGTCGGAGTACTAACACTTCTTGGGCTGCTTAGGAGTCAGTCACAGGGTGCCACAGGTTCCAGAGAGTCCATGGAAGCAAATGTTTTCCCCTGGCCCCGGAGGAAGCTTCATCCAGAAGCCATGCCTGTTTCCAGCCCGGACAGCTTTGCCCTCGGGTCATGTGGCTGGTCCACAGCTCACTGGATAGGGATCTACTGTCTCATGTGCCTGGTGTTCAGAGCCTGGATGCTCAGGACAGTGAGCAGGGAGGCGGGTAGATGAGGAGAATGTCAGAGGAAGCCTTGACCCAGTGTTGCCTTTGCTGCTCAATGAGGAAAGGATACATAGAGGTGGGTGGTAAGGGTTTTCAGGCTGGCCCAGGGTCTTACCTGATTGGCTGTGGCTGAAAAGTTTGTCCTGGGAGGAGGCTCCATCTGACATTCTCTATCCTGGAAAACAAGACAACAGGAGACCCACAGAAAGCCCTCAACCCTTCTCACTTAATACATCTCAAAGATGTACTGTTTGGATCAAGTGAGAAGGAGTTGGTTGGAGCTGATGGGTGCGGGACCCAGAGCTGGGGAAGTAAAGAGGGGCTTGGGTAAAGGACTGAATGATGCATTCAAAGCCCATATTATGTCCATTCTGGCCTCCCTCAGAAGAATTATAAGCTAGAAAGCAGGGGCAGGGAATCCTGTTTGTGCCCATTTTAACCAAGACACATTCCAAGTAGGGGATGAACAGATTTGCAGAAAGCCAGGCCAGGGCATAGAGGTCAGCCTCTGGCAGGTCATCAGACTAACACCCCTCGCCCTGAGAAGGCTTCTCTCTAATATGAGGATCTCTGGCTCTACCAGGGGAATGTGCCCCCTTCCCATTGTGTATCACCCAGATTACCAAATGTCAGCATAGAGACCACACAGGGTAACAAGGCACTGTCAAAAGCTCACCCTGTAGACCCTGCCCTCCATCTTCAGGTTAATTTCTGTATAACCCTGCCCTTATGTGTGAGTTTCTCACCTGAAACCCTGAGAGGCTCCCTCCGCCTGGTTCTCAAGAGCCTCTCTTATGAGTCAGAGAACTTTCTGACCTTTGCCAGCTGGTCCATCACAGAGATCATTAACTTCAGTTGAACTGACTCCTAGGCTTCCTGTTCCCCAAACACATTGTGGCCTCCCCTCTCCTCCCAAGTCCTAATTTCTACCCCTCTACAAAGCCCAGATCCAGTTTAAGCCTCCCAGTGGAGTTTTGGGGGCTCTAGCCTCCATGTTATTCCCTCTAAACCCCTGCCCGGATGGCTTACAGAGTCCTGAACACATGCTCTCAGCTCTCCTTGGGGAGATAAACTGTGGCATCTGTTGTCCTGTCACCCCTACAAGGCTGAGGTCTGCTGAGGCCAGGGTCAGGACTGCTTCTTCCCTGCCAGGCACAGTGAAGAGCTATAAAGGGGCTAGGATGGGGGCTGCTCTACCCGGAGAGGGTTGTTGAAGGTCTGTGAAGCCCTCTCACTGAAGTTGAACTGGTTAGTGAGCTTTTGCTCCTTGGGCTGCTTAGGAGTCATCAATTCTTCTTCAGTCACTTTTTCAGCTGCCTGAAAATAAAGACCCAGAGGATCAGGACTCAGCTGTGAGAAGAAGGTGGTAGAAAATTGGGAGATGGGGCAAGTCCTTTCCTGGGATAGGACAGAGGTAGGAGAGAGTGATGCTGCCAGACACATTGGTACCTGCAGCCTCTATTCTCACCTTCAGTCTCCCTCCTCCCTTCCCAAGTTACCCATGAAGCTGCCAGCCACAGCTTGAGCAGAAAGAAGAGGGATGTAGAGTGATATTATACTGTACCCCAGCTGCAGGCACATCTGTTTGACTCCCAGGCTCAGTTTCTAACTCCTTGGGCTCTTCATCTTCTTCAAGGTTTTCTGTTTCTGAAATCACCACCTTGGCAGACTCCTGAGAATCTTGGTAGGATACTTCCAATCAGTTCAAAGTCTAGGCCTGCTCTCCCAATCCCTGGCAGGGAGGGCCTTCTTGGTCTACTTTTCAGACACTACCTCTCCCTGGGATTGTCCTTGGCCTGAGTGTGATGGGTTAGCTCCCTGACCTATTCAGTACAGCCAGCGATTGGACTTTATGTTAGCAGAGGCTCTGCAAAGTTCTGGCTTAGAGATATACTCCCTGGAGTGAACAGAGTAATGGGAACAGGCTCAGGGATATAGCCTCAGGATGGCCCAGAGTCCTACCTGCCACTAACTCATCGCGGTAATGCTGCCGCCGTCCTTCATCTGAGTCTTTGGGGATAAGGTTCCCAACCTGGGTGTAGTGAACTGCCAGTTGGTTCACAAAGCCAATAAGCTTGTATGTGCCTTCCTAAGGAGAGAGGGGCTGAGTCAGACCAGGGGTCCCTAAAAGAGCTAGTCAAAATGTAGTCTGCTTTCATTCTGTGAGATCCAAGATAGTCCATCTTTGTTAAAGGAAATGTAACTCACCAAATCCTCAGTTAATCTGAAATTTTCACGGCATTTCAGTTTAAAGAAAAAAAGGAAGAGAAGGCAAATGAAATAAAGTATTTTTTTAAGTTGTCATCAAGGATTTATTTTAAAATACCTTGCCTTTCCAACTTCAAGTGGCTCCAGATTTGCCTATCACCAGCTTATACGTCTTGTCTCCTACATCCATGCCGAGTTTCTAGTTTACTTTCCACACCATATACCACATTTCCTGGGCAGATACAGTCCTCAGACACAACTGGCATGACCCTCTGTCCACTGTACTTAGTGGATTCTAAGGCTGGATAGATCCTCAGAGACAACCCCAATCCCCTAATTTCATACAAAACGACCATGGAATTCCAGAAAAGATTTATTTGGGTTGGCATTTGTCCGAGTCACACAGCAAATGAGAAGCAGGATTAGGCTTACAACCCAGGTCATTTTGTTCATCCATTCTTGAATTAATTTTTGAACAGCCTCAATGTGCCAAGTATTTTCCAGGTGCCTAGGATATAAAGCTGAGAAAAAAGCAGACTACAATCCCTTATTTACAAGCTTATAGTCTGGTTTCTGTAAAATCCTTTCAAGTCATATAGAAAATATGTTTGTAGGCACACTAGGGTAAACTCACAGTACAGGAAACCAGTTCATGGGCTCCAGCTGCACAGATCTCCCTGCCCCTGGAGGGCTGGAAGGATTGCCATCACACAGGTTGGGAAGTTCTAGATTTAAAAGTCAACACAGAGCCCTTTCACTTTCAGTAACTCAGATGTATGGGAAGATGGAACAGTACAGCAGTTAAGAGCATGGTCTTTGGAGGCAGGCAGAATTGGGTTCGAATCTTTATTCTGCTTATTATCTTCATGACTTTGGGCTTAAACACCCCAACCCCTAAGTTCTTCATCTATAAAAGAAGGCTGATAATACCCAATTTGCATAATAGTTATAGTATTAAAATAATAAAAACAAGGCCGGGCGCGGTGGCTCACGCCTGTAATCCCAGCACTTTGGGAGGCCGAGGCGGGTGGATCACGAGGTCAAGAGATCGAGACCATCCTGGTCAACATAGTGAAACCCCGTCTCTACTAAAAATATAAAAAATCAGCTGGGCATGGTGGCGCATGCCTGTAATCCCAGCTACTCAGGAGGTTGAGGCAGGAGAATTGCCTGAACCCAGGAGGCGGAGGTTGC